CTATTAGTAACAAGAAGCTACTAGGAACAAGTGCCTTACTAGTAGTAACAAGTGCTTGACTAGTAGTTACAAGAAGCTATTAGTTTTAAAGACGAACGGGGGGCCACGGAGCCGTCACGGAACCTCTCTCCCGACAGGTCTCTCCAAGCTGCCACATGGTCCCGAGAGGCGGAACTTTGGTCTTTGGCGTTGGGGTCACCACAGAGTGGCCGAATGCCATACCATGCGGACATGACATCTCCTCAGAAGGGCATTCGGGGCTGAATGGAAAGCCGAAAGCAGACGTCCAAGGCGAGCAGCGACGACGGACACGCAAACTTGGGGACAAATACTTCTCGCATTCATTGATCAGGTACTGGATCTCATCCTCACGGCTGTTTGCACTCTCGTGCACGCACATGGTCGAAAATCTTCTGTGGAATACGTTCGCGTCTTTGATCTACAATGACATCCGCACAAACACCAACTTCCTCCGGAACCTGGTGATGGAGGTCTGGCATTGTCTTCACATCAGTTGTCCCCACCAAGGTGTAGCCCTCCCATGGGAGGAAGAAAAGGAAGGAGCCTGATCACAGTAATCACATCTGCGGGCTCAACCACTTGCAGATTGCCACTAGCGCTTGCTGCTGCAGCCTCTAGAAGTCATCATGTCCACCATTCCAATGTGCCGCGGACAATAATAAGGCCTGGAACAAAGAACAATCAAGAAACAGCATCCGCAACATCTGGCAGTTCGTGTAAAGTGTAAAGCAACCGGACTTGTGCAAACACTGAACCCCCGGAATCCAGCTCTATCAGAATTCAAAGGGCAAAAGCAGCCATTGTCTTTATTGCAGGGCTCATCTCTTGCGCTGTAAATTCTATAAATGAATCTGCTTTCAATGACCCCTTTCTTCGCCGAAGACACGGAAGAACGATGTGTGTTCCTTGGTTCTCTGCAGCTCTGGGGCAGGATTGCACAAACTAGTGTCTTCCAAGCCACCGCCAGATGCATTGACCATGGGCTTCACATCCTTCCCCTCACTCAGTTGCCGCAGCCCATCTGTGAAAGGCCCGCCACAGTACACAATTTTCTTCGCCTCAGAGGTTAGCTGGCACAAGAACCAGCACAGGCACAGGAGATCAAAGATCTGCCATTTGATCCAAAGGAGCCTTGATTTCGAAAGACTTCGCGGAAGGGTTGGCTTTGTCCACGACCTACGGCTAGGTCAACGCGACGCACTCAGAATCCAGTGCTCTCTCCTTCAGCGCAATCAATGCCCATTGACGCCTCTGCGCCACAGGCCACCCCTTTCTCATCAAAAAGAATCCTCTCGACCTGTCAAAAACATTCAAATTGCAGCAGCCCACAAAAATATTGTATAAAAAAATAAAAGCCGTTGTGGAAAAACTGGGCAGCCAAATTTGCTGCCAACCTTGGCATAGTTCGCAATCGCTGCTCCGTGCATGGCCGCAGTGAAAGCAATGCAAAGGTTCGTGCGTGCGTCATTGTGCTCCCCCTCGTAGAACACAGACACGTACTTCATCCTGCCGGCATTCGATCTATATTGGGTGACACCAGCCCAGCTCTATGCCACTTGAGAGCTCCTCTTCCCATCCATTTGTGGAAAGTCAGCTCGTGCCCGCTCCGAGGACATCACGAAAGAGCTTGGAGCTACATACCTTTCATCAAGGACTAGGCGTGCAATTGAAAACAAACATGCCAAACTGATGTATCACTGTTACTGACAAAAACTGCTTCCACTGACGTGTGTGCTGTCTTGGTTTTAACTACCCAATGCTTCTAGCTTACTACATCTTACTACCAAGTCTCGGAACCCTTGAGATTCCGGCGAACATCCCCGCCTTCCCAGAAGATCATAGAACTTGAAGAACACGACGAACAGGCCAGTGCAGGGACCCAATGCTGCTGGCGGGTAGTCCTTGGCATTGATTTGTGCACGCACAACTAGGAACACATCTGACCAAGCCAAGCATCAAATGGTGGAGGCCAAATGATCCACTTGTCCAACCTGAATAAGGACTGGGGCGCAAACCTATCAATCAGCTGCTTTCAGAAACCCGAATGCAAAAGCATAAACAGAAAGGTGCTGCCAAGCCACGGAACAGCAATAGGAACCCAGTTTGTGATGTGAGGATTCATGGTGAGCATGTAAGTTCTCTCACGGAAGCATCCCAACACCTGGCCACTCCGACTGAACAAGTCCGGCATCTCGCATGGGTATACTCGGTTCTTGTGTTTGAAGGGCCCGGACCATGTGCCAAGTTCCCGCAAATTCCTGAGAGCATCATGCTTCCATGATAGTTGCGGGGAGTATACACACAACGGCGTCGTTTCTTTTTCTTTGTTGTTAGACCTTTAGACCTCTCCGCTTTTCCAACAAAGTCTTCCACGCTGTCCGGGCATCATTCCACGCAGCGGCCGGGCTCGAAATGGAGGCTGGCGAGAACAACTTCACCAATCCCTTCACGAGGTAGCGAGAACCTGATGCATCAGCAACAAGTTGAAGACCTGAAGAATTCTGGCCCTTAAAGCGAATGGAGAATGGAAAAAGCCAAACACGATGAGGTTGGAGAATGTCGAGCAATCCCCCCTGGTCTATTCTCTCTGGCAGGTAGGTCGCCTCCTTCTTCAGCCAAGAAACCAGCCCATAAAAGCTTGGTGGATTTAGATGATGTTCCTGAAGCAAAGTCTTCCTGACGGAGACAGTCGGCTCAAACGCAAATCGACCAAGAAAAGCGCACAAAGACACAAAGCTGTCCTGCTCCACACATGCTACCTTCAAACCTCTGAGTTGGGCTTCTAGGGCCACGCCAGCACCTTGGTCATGTGGCGTTTTCTATCTCCCATATAAACAGCACCAAGGCCTGTGAGGCTCTGCGAGGCCCTCCGAGGCCTGCAAGCCCTTTAAGGCCATGGCCAGTCGCACCACCGCCAACCACCAGAATGTCAAACTCTTCACCCGCGGCCAAGCGCTCAATTTGCTGTGCTCTTGTTGGGACTGGCTTCTCCTCCACACTCCTGATGAGGGAAAGCCAACTCTCTCCTCACTTCCTCTCTCTCTCAACGCTTCGACTGAGGGGTCAGTCCTGATCCTTTTTTCAATTTCCTGCGCGGAGGATGGCCCCGGACCGACATGACTTGGACGGCTCAACAAACCAAAGCTTTTAAAAAGGGCCTTCAGTAGCTTTAGGCTTGACTGGCTGATACTTTACTAGAATCTTCACTATCGATCATGGAACCACTCAAAATGCTCACAAGCTGGACTGTGGCCCCATATCAGACCGTTGCGGGTGTGAGGGTTCCACCGGTCATGTCACTACTGCAAAGAATGCGTGAGAAAGTTGCACGATCGCGCATCAGGATCAAACTGACGAGAAAGGCGCCTGTCTTCTCTTTTCGCTGTTGTAGGAAAATCCGAAAACTGTCGCAGCACCCGCGCCCACGATACCAGTGGTTGCCAACCTAGCTGAAGATGAGTAGCTAGTGAGTAGCTTGATGGCAATCTCATCTGTTACTGACCGTGCACAAGAACGAGAAATAGAATAAGTGTCTGAAGCTGGGTGGGATGAGCAAAAGCTAGCTACATACGGCATTTCCATGTCAAATCATCAATCTGCGGAATGATGAAACACAATTTGCAAATGCAAGCTGAGCTAAGCCAAGAAGGGCTCAGCCAACCTGAGATGTATTTACCTTTGGCACACGTGACAATGTGGGGCAATGAAAGTGCTAAACCTGTGGATAACTGCAACCGTCACAAATGAGGTGGGAAGGAGTAAAGTCGAAGCAAAATGAGCTAGCAAATTGAATAGGATGGTGAGAAATTGATCAACACCAAAAAACATAGAACAATGGAAATGAAATGGAAACAGAGTAAAGGAATATAGTTCATATATATATATATGTATATGTTTTTTATTTATTTACTTATTAAAAACCATATATATATATATATTCTGTATACATAATATGCGTGCGCGTGTGAATTGTTCAATGGTGAGTTGATGATGCGGCAATGGGCGGAGAACCGCCGCTTGACAAGCAGGAGACTAGGCTCGAAGCCACGAAACTCATGCCACGCAAAAGTGACGTCAGCCAGCGGCAACCATTCTCTTTCAAAGGCGGGGTAGGCCGTAGAGGTAGCTAGTAGTAGCTAGATAGATAGTAGAAGAGGTTGCCAGTAGCTTAAACAGCTACTACTTAGGACGCAGGATAGCTCATGCTTCTTCAAGGAAGTTCTCCCCAGCCGCCCTAAAGGCGGTGGGGGAAGCTTCCTTGAAGAAGCGCTTGCACTAATGATTTGGTTCGGGAAACTCAACATTACAAATCATCATCAAATTTTGAAGAAAAAACTTTCATCTGCCATGCCACAATCTTCGCTTCCACTTTGAAGGCTTCACCTTCAAGGTGCACAACTAGACCTATGTGCCTATGCGCCGCGTGCGTTTCCAGCCTGCTCCGTGCTCGAAAACGCGCGGGCAGTTAGCCGTCTGGCAGACGGCAATGTGCGACGAAGCATCGCGGGCACCGCCTTAGCTCTAGCACCACTTGCTCCTAGCACCACAGCGCACCGTGAGCTTCGTTGCAGGAAAGCTTCTCGTAGCACGCCGCCCCGGGGAAGCGAGACGTTCGTGTCCGGCGGTTTTGAGCCGAAACTACTAGGAGCACGGACGCTACTAGGAGCAAAGGGCATCGCTACTAGGAGCAAGGACGCT